CACCAACCAATCAGCAAGTTATGGCTGTAAGTGCCTTCATGTTGAAACAAAAAGTACCGAGTCTGGAGTAAGTACTAAAACAAGCTTAAGGTTCCAGAACTGCCTCCAAGGAACTACAATCAGTCAGAGTTCCTGTGGTGTGAACACAAAAAAAGTCCCTCGTTCCAGAAAAAAGTTCAGGACTAGAAAAGTGTTCTAGTGGTGTGAAAGCGCCTTTTGACTGTGAAACCTTGAAGTTGATATGTATAGCACTACAGTGTTCTGTATACTGCAAAATTGTTTTGTGTAGGTGGGGCCCCAAAAATGTCTCTAGCCTAGGAGCCCCCACCCTTCTTATTCTGGCCCTACTATTGCTTGTTAGTATTGTGGAAAAACAATTGCAAATTTCTGCTTAATTTATCTGAAGAGGAAAATGTAGACAGTGAAAGACTAAACATGTAGCGTGTGAGTGTGTGTAGGTGCCCCAGGACTGCATGGTAGCCCAGCCCTGAATCCTCTGCTGCCTGGGATAGGTTCCAAGGTCTCCTATACCCCTGACCATTGCAAGTGTTTAGAAGATGGATGAATCCTTTTCAATATGAAATAAATACATCTTACCGAAGAAGCAGGTGTCTCTGTCAAACTTAGAATTTCACTTGGGGTTTTGCAGAGGAAGTGACTTCTCTTCGGTTTTTAAATGTGTCGCATTGGGTGTAAGCGTGCCTGTGTGCACATGTGGGTGTATCTCATCACACATTGGTGCCATGTGCAGCTTGGAGGGCAAAAGTAAGTTTGCAGAGTCAGATAGCGTGTCTGCAGAGTGGTGGACAGAGGTCACAGCAACACTTTGTCAGGGTCAGCCCCTGCTGTGGTCCTTCCCTGTCCCTTCCCCGTTTGGCCAGCAGGTGTTGCTGGTCATCCCGTTCTTTGTGTTAGACTTTGTTCTCCCCTGTTGCCAGTCTGGTCATGTGGCTCAATGTCTTGAGTGTCCGGTTGTCTTTGTACCATCTGTCCTGTGTTTGAATCCCACCTCCTGTTTTATTTTGCTCCCTAGTGTTTCAGTTGAGTTTGTCTAGTTATTTGTATTTGGTGATTTTGTATATGGTTTTTGG